TGTTTAGCTCACCCTGTTTGTGCCCCTGCTCTTACTCATTCTTTGTTTTACCTCTCGCCCACAGGCCACTTCCTCTGGGTGAACAGCTCAGCCTTTGGCGGCCCCTGGGTGCTGAGTCCCTGGTTGTGGGGGGGCCAGGGTCCCTGCAGCCTGGACATGGCCGTGTTCCTCCACCCCGAACAAAGTGGGCAATACACCATGTGGCTCATAGAGCGGGACAAACCGCCGCTCGCACTCTTCTCCACAGACACGCTGCCACGCATCACTGGGTAAGCACTCGTTTTTTACTACACTACAAACTGAATCTGAACTTGCCCCGGGACAAAAAACAACCCAGAGATTTAGCCATTAAGGAGAATAAGAAACCGTGAAGTAGGTGTCTTTGACAATTCACTCCTGATGTTCATAATGATACACTTGAACATTTCTCTTGGCACTAGCTATGTTTACTGGATTTCTAAGATGGTCTTCTAAGTCGTGAACCATGTATTCTTGCTTGCCAGCCAAAAGCTTTATTGTGAATACGATAAGTGTTAATGTTTTCTAATATAGGCAGGGGTGGAAAACCTTTGGTAGAATTAAATGTTGGCAACCTCATCAAAGCCTGATTCTATGCACATTGTGTTAGACAGGAACTGGCTGAGTAAGAAGGAAACATTGATAATAGTGTTATAACAAAACTATGAAATAATATGAAGACCATGATGAGACAATGACAAGCCAGCACAATTGTGACAAAAAAGTGACTTTGATAATATCATATATAATAATAATAATAATATTGAATATACAAAATTAGACATGTAAAATCTCCAATTTTCTTCACCTTCCACATTATCTTCCCTTTCTGTTCAACACACAAAGACCCTCTTTCTTCATTGCTGACAGTTGTGTTTCTATGATGCTTAAAGTTGAGTAACAGTGGTTAACTAACTTCATGTTGACTGGTGAATTGGGTATTTGGACCTGTTGATGCTACTGAACTGTGAGCACTGTCAGGAGGCTTTGAAGAATCAAAGTTGCATTTTAAATAATGTAACCATTAATAATAATATTAGTGGGAATAAGGTGAACTGTAATGACAAAATGATTGGTTTTGGCTTGACTTGATTGACTGAAATTAATCGATATAACCTTTTGGCAAAAAAATAGTATCACAGAACTAAGACTAAATAAAAAATTCTGCCATAATTAACCTTAGAAGGTTGTTTAAAACATGACTTGGTAAGTCAGCATATTTTATTCATATGATCTCCATTGTGGCTTTTCATTGTAGTCTTTCTAGAGAGGCCACCTTGTTCATAGGCTACTCCTCTAAATACTTAATATGTGCAGTGGTATATCTATGTGTGGTCTGCCTTATTAGCATAGCTGTACTTGTCTGTGTGGGAAGTCAGTATACCAGAGCAGCTCGGACATATTCCATGCTGCCCGTGTGTGTGATCCCTTAAGGGCACTGGAATCACATGAATGTCTTGCTTTATGCACCTCTCCTTTCTCCGTCCCCGTCTGTCTGTGTGTGGGAGGAAATGTGCACTAGCGTTTGTGCGTGTTAATGCGAATGGTGTGTCTCCTTTAGGGACCATAGCAGGGACGCTCATTACGCGTGTGACGGATTAGACGTTTGTGTGCTCTCATTTGTAGTCACAGGCCGCCATCCGCCCACGCCATCTCTGTTGTTTGGAGACCCACTCAGCCACTTTCCCCACATCTCCACTCCGGCGGGAGGACGCTCTCATCTCAAGATGGGGCAGTAACAAAAGCAAGAAGGGCCCCCCGCGAACATCATAAGAATCCGACGGTGTACTAATTGCCAATCCTTTCCCTTCGCCTTTGAATTTTAATCCCGTGTTTTGACATTTACAACAATTCAGTAGTCAGGACATTAAGCAAAGGCTCAAGGAAAACAAAACATTATTGTATATAGATTGTGTTTAGGTCCTACTTACTTGAAGAAAGTGTGAAACTCTATTTTGTTATTCTTAGGTAAACTTTGTATTAAAAGGACTCATAGACAGCAGCCAACTACAACTAAAACAAAAATATCCAAATCACAAGTGTGTTCCCACAGAAGTAGGAATAATAGGCACTATTTTGGAAGCTGCCCACACACTCTTGCATTAAACCATCCAAAATCTCCTTTGATTCCATCTAATAGTGACATTGTAATGGAAAAATGTGTTATAATGTGGCTTTATAACTTAAATGTGCTTGTTTATTTTCTAAACTTCTCTCCGCCAACACAAGCGTCCAAACTCCAGCTCTGCTACAGCCATCAGCCACTGAGGGAGCGCTCGCTTTGAAACCCCTGAAAGCTGCTCTGTTGCGTTAGTGTTGCGTCACTTCTAATAGAATGGACCAAGCACAAAAATATCTTTGTGGGTACATTTTCAATGGCTTATGCTTTGAGAAATGCTTTGAAAGTTGGTTAAAAAAAAGTAGCTTGCTCTTCTGTGGTGCATTTAAAAAGTCTGAAGTGAAAGGATCAGTTTTTTATATTGAGGAAAAATATTTACAAAACAGGTTGAGGTTGGTAACCTCCTGCGCATATCGAGTGTCATCTCAAATTTTTGCTGGGTACTTGTGAATATAAACCAGTGGCGGATTTAGGATTGTAGGAGATCCGGGGCTTAGCCCAGCAGTTGTTAGGGGGGGGGGGTTGCAGGGGTAATGTGCTATTTTTGTGGGGGGTGGACCGAACATCCTTTAGGGGGGTCGTCGCCTCTTCTAGGGGGGTCCGGGGGCATGCTCCCTAGGGAAGATTCTTTTTTTAAATATTGAAGTTAAAAGCATCAATCTGGTGCACTTTACAATCACGGACTGCTCAAAATCGATTATCGGATATTTCATACCTATATTTTTACATATAAAGTAGCACTCCGTGGTGTTCGACGTCGTCGTCGGTCATAGTCGTCGACTGTGGTCGTCACTTCTTTACCTACTACAAAGTCCAACACTTAGAATTACCACTTATAGACGGTGAGACCGAGTCATTCTCACTTTTTCCACTACATTGCGCATTACATATTCGATCATTTGTACCTCAATTGGGTGATTCATATGGGAATATACAATCATACATAGTCTGTACTGATGTTTAATAGGATTCTACATTGCAATTGGGAAGTATGGAGACAGTGGAAATTCTGTGATTTTATTGCATAGGTTAAAAATAAAACAAAAGCGCGCACCTTAATATGGCCGAAAGGAAAGTCTATGTGTATCGTTGCCTTGGTATTCGTTGCCTTGACTGTCGTTGGAGACTTAGTCTGAGACTAACCGACAATTACGTAGGTGTGGTCTCACCAGGCTAAGCTTTGCACTGAGAATGTGAGAAATGCAGTGTTTGTTTCTACCACCTACTCTTATCTAGTATTTTGCTATTCGTTACGCGGTCTAGTTCCACTCCAAATAGGCGTAGGAAATTTTGAGACGCGTGGTAAGTAAAGTGGCTTTATTTCATTTGCTGACATAAACTTTTTTCACTAATCAAACGAAGTAATTTCCACACAATTACTATTCACAAGAGGTCACGGAAAACAGTGAAATTCATAATAATTCCAATCCAAT